CATCAATAATATTTTATTGCCAGCTGAGCAAGTGAAACGAGTTTTGCATTTATTTTATTATTTTTCCTTTTTTTTTGCGTTTGTCGTCTACATAAATAAGTTATTTAAAACTTTAATTTGTGTGCTCTTGGTAAAATCTTTGAAATTTATACGAAATGATGTTGGATTTTCTTTACAAATATATATATATTTATTTATTTTTTTTTAATTTAAATTTGTGTCTATGAAAAATCTGTTAAATTTATAGGAAACTGATGTTTGTGTTTCTTTACATATATTTATTTATTTTTTTTTTTTATCAAATTAATTGTCATTAGAAATATATTTTTATTTATTTTAAATGTATAAAATAATATAATAAAAGATTTATATTATAATCTTTTTTTTTTTTTTTTTTTTTTAAAAAACTTTAATTTTTTTTTTTTTTTTTTATGGTTTTTTTTTTTTTTTTTTTTGTGGTACAGCCAGCAACGTGTTCGTGTACCTTTTTCTAGGATCCTTGCTATAAGTTCCACCATATTTGCTTCTCTGGGCAGCCAGTTCAGTGATTTCTGGTATCCAACTAGCGAACACGGCCTAAATTCAACAACACACATACACTTTTAGAATATAGAGAGAAGTGCCAAAATAGTTCAGTTTCAGTTACAATTGCAGTTTTAGTATTTGGCTAACTAGTTGTTGCTGGTCTTTGGATGGTGTTGTGTTAAAAAGAATATGCAGTACAGTACGACACTCACAAGACTCGTAAAGGGGACGACGCGACGACGTGAATGAACGTAAGCAGACAACGCTGGACAAGAGGAGGAAGCACAGCTCCCCCACAACCACACGGCTCACGCTGATGATGCACACACACTCTCAATTCGATCACTCGCACACACACATTCATCCATACACGCACACACTATCATATACATATATACATACACGCTCACATACTTTGACATTCGCTCAATTTTACAGCTAATTTTACAATTGATTTTTGGTTTTATTTAGATTTTCCGTATATACAGTTTTGGATCTCTGAAAAGATATATTCACTTTTACCGCATCTAAATATAATATTTACTGTAGTTACGTATTTGTTTAAGGTCTAAAATTTACAGATTTACAGCTGTACACGACAAGTGCTCTATGGCTGCCTAGAAGTGTGCGAAGTTAGTCTCGACTCAGCTAGGCGCGCACGAATGAGTTTTATTTTTTTATTTTTAGGGGGGAGGAGTGAAATTTAAATGGCGATAGCTTCCAATTCTAGTGAGTGGACTAAATGATATGCAATGATAGAGAGATAGAGAGAGTTGTTGAGTAATAAATAAACCTAAATGCTTAAATGCCTTGTTGAATGATTATACAATAAACAGAACAGTCGGCTTACCGAAGCGAAAGACAATTTCCAAATATTACAATATATATATACATTATAATACTTTACTGGAAACTGCCTTTCAAAATAAAACAAATTGAAGTGAAAATACAAATAATTATACATATTATTGTAAGAGTATTGGGAATTCGATGTACTAGTTATGTTACGGTGACACTGACAAAAAACGTTTTACTTGAGGATCAATATTAAAAATGGAATTGATTATTGCGAAATGTAGCTCAAACTCTCTTCAAATAGAATTTAACAATTTATGTGTACTTAAAAATTGATTTTTTTTTATTGGCAATGCGTGACCGATGTTTTATTTTTAATTGAATCGTGTGAACAAGAAGGCGCCGTAAATGTTGCTCAAATGCTGTAAAACGTTGAACAAATAAATGATTAAAAAACAAACCGGTAACTATTCTGAAATTGTTTTGTACTTCTGGTGTTATTTATTGCAAAATCAAAACGGAAAGCATGGCAAATCAAACATAACTCAAATGTTAACGGAAAAGCAAGAAATGGACAGAGTATTCGGGCCAAAAGTAAAATTCATGTAAAACACACGCCTACAAAAGTGTTTAGAGAACGAATTGATAACTAATTAAAAGCAATGTGTGAGAGTTCATCAATAAATCAAAACAAAGTACGAATACCAAAAACCCTACTATAATTATTTGACAAAAAAAGAATAGACGACTAACTGATCTGTATACAAAAAAAGGAAGAAATGTAAATAATAATAATATGGAAAGTTCTTTATACTTGTATGATTTATCAATATTATGTTTTTTTTTTTTTTTTGCTTTTTTGTGGTAAGATATACATTTTATTGAAAAGTTGTTTAGGCAATCAGATGACTTTTATTAGTCAGAGTTGACTGTCAGCTACATTTGATGATGGGTAAATATATAGTATATATTAGTAGAACTTTGCATTACAGTCAACTTTGTATGCGAGTTACCAAAATACAAATCCATTTGGTAAATTATAAAAATATATGGATATATATAACAAAGGGTAACAGACTAAGTACTTAATTTGATAATTGAATATTAACGTAACTAATTCAATACTAATTATGAGTTGTTTTTGTT